CACAAATAATGTGAACATTTTCGCTAAGAAAATGAATCTATGAGATTCCTAAGAAATGGATTTCTAAAACAAGTTAACTCTGTAGTCTGATTACATTAAAAGAGATGCTTATAAACAGTAGCAGATTTGGAAAAATTGGTAAGTATAAAGAAAAACAGTATTTATATACATACATTAATTATTGTATTTCCTTCAGAATCTTTCTCTGATGTATATTCTGCATGTTTTTAGAACCTACACTTATTTAAACCTTTCATGCCCATGTAATAGCAGTATTTTAACATACATTACGTATGTGGGATTTGGACTATGTTTTCACAAACTGTTCATGGCTGTTCCAGTTTCTCTCCTCTTTGTATTAGAGAGAATATTACTTGTAAGTAAACAAATCTGGACTGTATCTTAATGAAGTTTCCTATGTTAAGTGACTGGAAAGCAATACCTAATGGGTATTTTGGTCATCTTTCAGATTCTAAGTTTCATTGCATTAATACGTAGCTTTAGGGTTATTTGGGGAGGTATTTATGATGTTAAAAATCAGAAATAACCAAGTTATTTTGAAAAGCAAGGAAGAAAGCAGAAAAATCCATTTCACAATGTTTTTTATAAAAATAATACTTGCTCTATGTGTTTTCAACTTCAAATGAAAATTTTTCCAGTGTGTTAGTCTTAAACTGAGGAAACCACTTGTAGGTGCAGGTGCTTTTGTGTATGATGGAAGAAAATGCAGTAAATCATTCTGTATTCCAGCGCAGACTGGTCAGTAGGGTTTTACTGTGTTAATCTTCTCTGCACACCTGTGAAAAAATGTTCTCACTTTAAACTGTTACAGCTCTGCTGACCTCAGCAGAAGAGTTTTCCTTTTGCATTAGATTTGAGCTGGGCAACATCACTCTGCTAAACTGATAGTTGTAGTCCATGTCCCCCTTCCTGCCTTTTATCCATCAGGAGCTCCTTGAAATGATGACTTAGAACATCCTACTATTTCAGATGTGTAAAATCTATACATTTCTAAGGATATCCACTGCTCCCTTAGAAAAAAAAACCAGAGACCTATAAAATGTAGAAGACCAAGAACACCCTGGCACCTCAAGTCTGTTGCTTCTGGCTGGTCTAGGTTCCTATGGGCAAACTGTTTAAGTTAAGGCTGTTACTGGTGGAGCCTTCACAGTATTTACAGTATTGAGAAATTGTTCATGGTGGAAAGAAAAGAGTGAGTGTAGTATAAACTGACAGTTGACACTGGAGAATTGTTCGTCTGAACTAATGTTGACTGGGATGGATTTTCAGATTTTTGTTTAAATAACTTTTGGCTGCAAGCAGAGCAGAACTAATCCTCTTCTGAGTCATCACTGGTGCTTCTATTTATTTTGAAGGAGCAGTCCTTCATGATTAGGAGTACTTCATGGAACAGCCATTCTTCAAAGCCCTCGTTTCTAGTGCAGAAAACTAATCAGACCACTATTAAACTGTTTCTTTCCACTAGACCCCAGATGATCTACGTGATGGTATGTCAATAAAGAATGCATTGGCTACTAGAAATTTGAGGCAGCGATCAAGTGGAGAGAATAGGCTGGGATTTTTAGAAGACATGGTAGACTTGGCGGTAGTTGCATCCCAGTTCCCTTAGACTGCTTCTTGTGATCCACACCAAGGGAAAACCAGGAAAATAGTAAAAATGCCACGTTTTCCATGTTAGCTTCATCTCCTTTAATCTCAGCTCAGTTTTTTCTACATGATATCTAAATTGTTCCAATGAAGTTACTGTGTTTCGGTTACTTGTAACGGATCTTCAGTTTGTACATAGACCCATTTACCACCACCTTCCCAGTCCTTTTTTTTCCCCCCAGAGCTGCAATTACTCTTGTCTTTTGCAGTTATGAACTGCACACAGTCATATTTATCCTAAATCCTGGAAAATGATCGTCTTTCTCTGTTTAAACTTGGCTTGCTTCAAGCAAAAGCCCCCACTCTTCCGTGATTCCAAGAAAAAAGGAACATAACCACAAGGTTTCCCCAAAGATTTTGCATACATCTGATTCACTTAACCGCAAAAACAATAAATTATGGAGAAAATTGGGCTGCTTCCATATATTCACCACGTTATGTAATAAAGCTGATTTTTTGTTAGTTGTTTTGTTTGTTTGTTTGTTTGTTTTGGGTTTGTTTTTTTTGTTTGTTTTTTGTTTTTTTTTCCCTATCCTGAGATAAACTGAAGACAACTGTGTTCTGTGAGCACAACTGTGTGGTTGAGCATGTTTGTGGAATACATAATGTCACCGGTCTGATTGTTGATTATTCTTTCTACTTTGTTGTTTCTAATGATTTACGATTGTGCTATAAAGGAAGGTAAAATAAATTATAAGGCAGAAAAAAATATAGTTTTAGAAGTATAAATACTTCCGTCTGGAAAAAAAAAGTTGAAATATTTTGTTGGGTGACAGACAAGATCAAAAGCTTGATTAAAGGAATTTAGAAAAATTCTCTTCAATTAAATAGGTTGTTTCAGCACAGGGGACTAAATTCGTAATGAAAAGTGACAGTGTCTTCTATGTTGTGCTAGATCCACTACAGAGAGCATTTTCTCTTGCTGTGACACTTATTGAAATCAAACACGTGTTTGTATAATGTTCTAGTTGTTGTCTGTGCCAAAGCATGTAAAAGCTGCATAGTTATATTCTCCATCTTATGTTAGCTTGCTGTGTTGATGTACTTGCAGTAAACACTTCAGCTGATGAAAAGTGGTTCCAATGTTTATAGTATTCATTCCTAAGTCCGTGATTTTACTGTGCAATTTTCCTTTTTGTACTTCTTTGTCATTTTTTGATAGAAATTGTTCATAGATTGGCTTTACCATGATGTTTATTCACTGCTGCAATACCTACCCTGCTGATTTTTCTGCTGTTTTTAAACTGACAATCTGGTACGCAGACTGGCTCAGAAAGTTCATAAGATTTGTAAATACCCAGTTCAGGAGTCTTATGCTTTTCATGGCCTATCCTTGTTTTAGAAATCATTATTTCCTGCAGGTTTTCTGCAGAAAATTCTGAGCTTGATGGATATTTTACGGGATATTTTTTTCACACTTTAAGGCTCAAGTACTATGGCCAATTTCTCCATCCAAAGGGAAGCAAGCCCAATTCTATGACAAGATGCTTGTTGAGAGCTGGCAGGCAGATCATGGAGCCTGCCCGCTCCACAGCACCACAGTTGTGTTTGTTGCATTATTTTAGTGTTTTTAGTAAGGGTATGGTATCCTTTTTACTAAGGAAATAGTTTCACTTTGTTACTGAAAGTGTTTCACTCAGTCTAAACATTTTAAACCCAGAAGAATTCAGACGATTGAATTGGTCTTGAATTGGTACACTGTTGATGCTGAGATCAGCACCAATTTAAATGCCTGAGGAGACCATGAAAGAAGACTTGCAGGAGAATAGAGCTAACTCAGCACACGGCATTTGAGGAAGCATAAGGAAATTTCTGCATTTTCCATCCTCTTCTTTTGATTTGCAAGTTATTCTGACTGGAGTTCAAATCATTGCTCTGAATTGGTTGACTGTGTGCGTCTGTCTTGTGATTAGTTTATGCTGCTGTTTCTTCTGGATTTGAGTAAGAAAGTGCTATAAAAAAGAGCTTTATAAAATGGATCACATTTTTACTATGAATTGGATACTAGATACAGTAACTAGACTGTGCTATCATAATAATAATAATAAAATAGGAGCAGAAATCAAGCCTGCAGAATGCATGTTTAGTGCCAGGAATACTGAGGTGTAATTGTAATAATTGGAAACTGATGCAGGAGGGAAAATGCAATGTGCATAATAAGAGCAGAAACTGCTGATACAGAAAGGTGAAATTGACTAAGATATTGGCCCCTTAATTTTAAAGAATATTCAAAGAGCCTCCTGTAATACATTTCAAGCCTTCTTGACGCTGCATTCTAAGGCATATATATAATATATATATAAACAATGTCTGCAACTATCTGTTTTTCAATAGAAGGCAATTCGAAGAGGAGGGCTCTTTGGTGTCTTGTTATGTCTTACCCCAGCCAGCTGGTTGATGCTCCTCTAGAAGCAGCATCTAGAGTCAAGATGCTCACTGATGGGCCAGGCTTTTTACAGTTGTCTCTATGGTGTTTGAGTATCTGCTAGCCTCTTTTAAAGGTTATTCTCCATAATCCATACTGATGTAACATTAGTGCTGAAGTATCTTTTTCTGCCTTTGGTATGGGGATGGCTGAGAGGAGAGGGGTGCAGGGCCTGAGGAGAACTTCTCAGCCTGCCCCAAGTTTTGTACTCTACTGGGTAAGCTCACCCTTATTTATTAGCATAGACTTGTAAGTAGTGGGTACAAAGTCTGAAATTGTTGCCTTTTTTTATGGTAGCTAGCTAAAAAGGGAGTGCTTTAGAAATTTAGGGGCTTTTTTTCTGCAGCTTTTCTTCTGAATTTAAAGAGCATCTTGAAAAGACTGATGCAATGACATTGGAATACATCTTCCATTCAGTCTGTACTGTTCAGCAACAAAAATGTAGCTTGGAGGTTGGGAAAAACCCTTGTTAGAATGAAGATAAGGGAATGCTTGTGAACTCCATGAGAGCAAGCTCTGTTGAAAGCTTTAGATATTTTATTATCTAAGAAATCTTTTTGAGATTAACTGTGTTCACTAGCTTAAAGTGTGCCAGGTTGCAGCTGACAGTTTTTATCGTGCAAGTAATTGAATGCCTTGTTTTTAACTAAAATTGCCTTGGCCATTTAATTTTATTTTTAATAAAAATGTGCATCTAATCTTCTATCACAAATCGAGCCAAATCAGATTTCTTTTTTTTTTTTTTTTCCCTGTTGAAGCAAAATTTAAAGCAGATGATATTTATTTTCCTTTAATTATTTGACAGCACAGGAACAATGGGGTAGGAAAGCATGGGTTCTGTACATTGGCAAGTTTTGAAGTTTCATTGGATGAGTTTTATTTATTTCTACCTCTCTTCTTTTCATAGGAAATTCCACTTATTTGGATGACCACGGACCACCCCCTCAAAAGGTGAGATGCTATTATTTTGCATTTGTTTTCTTCTTTCTTTTCTTTGTTTTTATTTTCTAATAAACTACTAGTATGTTTACTTGTTCTGGAATATGTGCAATACATTTCTGCTGAGTTTAGATCAACAGCACTTGGCATTTTTTACTTTTTTTTCCCCAGTTTTCAGGCATTTGCAAGTTACTTGGATTAAATGTCTGGGTGATTAAACTAATGGAATTTTTGCAATTGAGTCAAAGGGCGATAGGATTCTAGTGATGAGTTTTGCCTGTCAGCAGACGTAAAAAGAACACATTTCTTCTCTTGGACAAACATCTCTTAATTGTTTTGGACATCTCGCCAGTTGCTGCATTGTTGTTTTTCTTGCAAAATCTTTGCTCACATGGTCAGCTTCTGATGAACCATTTTCTTTTAGTGCTTAAATAAAAAATGTGTATCTATGCTAGAGTGTCTGAATATCTCTATTTCATTTTCTAAATCAGTACGGCTATAGCATTGCAAGTATGCAGTGGGAAGCCCAACAACACTGTTAGAGCCAATGAGGGAAGTGGACTTTTTCTGGGTAATGATTCCTGGAGCATGAGCTCTGCTGCAAGTGCGATACTTTCAGAATACAAAACAGAACAGAAGAATACATTTAGTGTTGTATATTTAGAATATGGTGATCTGTTTACAGGGGGGAAGTGAACAAAAAGTACTTTTACCATCAAGTATGACTGCAGCATTGACTGTACCCTCACCATAATCATTGTAACTCATGACATTTCAGGTGAGAGCCTATATACAATGTTTTTTTCAAGAGGAAGAAGTTGATGCAGACTCTTAGGGTCCCATGTTGTTTGTTTTTCCCTCTACTGGCTTAGTCTGGTTTATTCTGTAAAACCTGATTTGTTACTATATTGTGTTTGTCTTTCCGGACAACAAGTCTCTAATAACTCCTTCTGTGCAGTAGTATTTTGGAAAAAGAAAGAAAAAGAAACAGTTTTTCTGCTAAGCTTTAGTATTTCTAGATTCTCTGTGTTTCTGTACATGCAGCATGGTATCTTACTGAGGTGTTTGGATAGAACTGTGGTTTTGCAGTCTTTATGTTTTGCCATTACAACATTTGATCGTGCAACTTTTTTGAAACTGTCCAAATTATGCCAAATTTTCACTGTTACTTGTTGAAGCAGAATGAAGCAGGGGGAGGTTTTGTAACAATGTTGGTAAAAATTAACTGTAGGCTAGTTTATATGATGTAAACTTCTAACAAAGCTCGTGACTTTGTTTAGTATAAAACTTTTCAGGTAATGCATTTTTAATGGAATGTAGGTACCCGAATGCTTTTGTAAGCCCTCTTGGCTTTTCAGTAGAAATTTTACCTATTTTAAGAACTCATTATGAAAAGGTGAGATTCCATGATGACTTCATGCCAAAACATGGACTGTGCTGCTGGAAGTGTTGCTTTTTCCACAGCAGAGCAAGATTCTCACAATCCTGGCACAGCTGTTCATATGAGTGAGCTGGAGCAGTTACCTGAAAATGCATCTTTTTTTCTAGTTTAACTTTTGGACAGATTACTAATGTGACCCTCTGTGAATGGCAGTGCATCAGGTGAGAGCACGTAGACGGCGTGGAGGTGAAGGGCCAGCCACTCATCATGATGGCAGTTCCCACTCTCGAGTGGTCAAAATGACTGTGAAATCACATTCTGAGCCACCAGCATTGAATTTAAACCTTCAACCACATGTGTGAGTTAGTGTGGTGAAACAGCTGGATTTTGGTCAGCGAAAGTAGGGTAATGTGGAAAGGAATTTGATTTAGCTTAGTTCTCAGTGAAAGCAAGCTACTGTAAACTGGGATTTTTCACTTCCTTTCTGCAAACTCTGCACATGAGATCTATAATTTTTCAGCTAGTGTATGGAAATTTGTTACACTCTTAAAGTTCAGGTGGTTCTATTACAGAGGAATGATGAACTTCTGATTTTTCTTCCCGCAAACAACACAAGTTACATTTTCTACATGTATAGACATAAATGGATGTATACAGAAGTGATAAAATCAACCTTTTAACTTCATCATTATTACCTGAGATGGAGGGTCAGATCTAAAAGATCTAAAAGATCTAAAGCTTAACTATCTAAAGTTTGTAAAGCAGTGCCTTTTCTAGACCTGTATTATCCATGCTTGCCTTAGCATTCAGAAATGCATAGCAGTGCCAGTAAGGGAAATCAGTAATCTAGATTAAAGTTTTGAATCTTGAAAACTCTACCCAGATTTAACATTTGGGTACTTCAGAAATTTTGTTTTACCAATTAAAAGTACTGTGGATAAGAACTGTGCCCTAATGGACAGTAGCCTCTTGTCAGGTTTATCCAACCAAGGCACTTTCCGATTTAATGTTCTGAAAATTTCTCTTCCCATTCTAAGCACGTAATTTGGGGCCTCATCCAGCTCTCTCTAGAAAGGCCAGCTGATTGTGGAGTTAGGTGGTAGATCGTGTAGGTACTCTCTGATTAGTGGCCTGCATGGTCAGTAATGTTGTAGGGCTTTTTCTGTAATGATCCTCGCTCCTGAAAGCTTGCTGAAAAGATCAGCAAAATAACAGGCTGTAGCCTTGTATTAGATGCAGGAATTTTACTTTTTGAAGTAGTTTTCTGTGTTGAGTGACATTGATAAAAGGTAAGCATTTTGAGCAGCCCTTGGGCAACATTTGTGCAAGCCCTTTTGTTGTTGTTTTTTTGTTTGTTTTACTTTTCATTATTCTAATTGAAACTTAGACTGGGATTGTTAAAAGAGTGAATAACTCCTGCTGTTTGCTTCAGGTCACGTTCTGCACTGTGGTGCTCTTGCTCTGTCGATGTCATGCATTGCATCCCTGGCTAAAAGTATTTAGTTATCCTTTTACAAATTCAGGTCTGAACTGTGAATTCTGCTAGTGGAACTAATTTTACTGTAATGGTTGTTATAATTCAGGTTGCCTCTATGGATATAGATAACTGCATTTAGACTGGTAGCTGGTTAAGGTCAATGGATGATTTTATTTGGCATATGAAGAAGTGTCAGAAGAAATTTGTCCTGAAACCGACGCTTAATTTGATTGCAAATTGCATTTTCAGTTTTTGAGTACACAAAGCACAGCTGACATGATGCAGTTCTCTTCACTAGTACGTATAGATTACAAAGCCCTTGATTTCTTTCTTGTGTTACTGGTAGTCACTTATCCAGGGAAGTATGCCTTTGCCTTGCTGCATTGCTGTCTGTGGTCAGTCCTGCTTGACAGTAGTGTGTGAAGCTCTGCAGTGTATTCATGATGTCAGCTGTATTCATTGGAGGGAATTACAGAGTGCTCTGAGTGAAATGAAAACATAAGAGGGGGATTTGGTAGGTTTAGGAAGCAAGTTTTAGAGTTAAAGATATTGTATGTGTCTGCTTAAAAATTCTTAAAAACCAGAAGTTAAGTTAATGAACAAAAAGTGCAGTGTTGAAATGAGTGATAGCTACTATCAACGGTACGTAGTTAGCTGCAGTGCAAAGCCACCAATAGTTGATATACAATGAACAGTAGCTGTTCTGCAACGTGTTCTCATATTTTATTGCAAATTGTATTAGTTTTGGCTTTCCATCATGGCTAGATGCCAATTTAGATTATTATTTTAATTTTACATACCAGGGTTTTTTTTTTTTTTTTTTTTTTTTTTTTTTTTTTTTTTTTTTTTTTCCACCAGTGGAAGAACTGAAAATAGCACTTTTTCTCTGAATAAGAAATAGCATGTTTACATTCCAGGAGGTCAGAGTACTGGGTTGCTTTTTCAAGCAAAGATGGCAGCAGTAGTTCTTTCAGTGTAGGCAGACACTCCATGTGGATTGGAGTCTAAGTAATGTAATGCCTATCAATGATGCTAGCCTATTTTAGACATTACTTGTGAAATTCGTGCAAATTAGTGGCAGAAAATGTTTGGTTGATGCTTAACTTGTGTGAGCATTTCAGTGAATAAATACGATGTGCTCTGTTCCAGTATTTGGGCTGGTTACTTCCTTAGCAATGCTTTTTGAGGGTAGGTTTTTTTTCCTCCTTCCATGATGACAAAGCTGTTGTTTGAGGACAAATGATGTGATCTTCATCAAACCTAGCATTTTTATTGATGCAAACTTTTCCCCTGAGAACTTGGTAAGAATATCGGGGTATGTCCCTTTTTGGTGCAGCTGATATACATGTGTAAAGGAGCTGTGTGCACATATGACTTAAATTACTTCCAAGTGGTCATGATCTGATCTCTTTTTCTTGATGGCTTTTCCATAGGATGCCAATCTTGGTTCTGATGCCTTTTGGCGGCTGCCTAGATGTCAGTGAAGTCCTATGCTTAGCACTGGTGTGATGGTACTTCAAAGCTTTTAGTCAATACAAAAATGGATGTGAGTCAGTACAAGGTCAAAACAAACAGAAGCAAAATGCATGCAGAAAATAAACTTGAATCTATTTTTATGGTTTGAAGCTGGAAAGCCAATAAATTCCTTCTACACCATTCTTTTAGTTCTTACCTAATACATATGTTTTCATGTTTTCCTTATGGATCAAGGCTATAGAAAAATAAATCAGAAATCCTGAGCAGCCTTTGATATGCATTGTACCCGTTTGTCGTCACACTCAGTTATCCAAAGACCTTTCTTTCTTTAAGTTATTTAATTTGGTCATTCCAAAAATTGATGTCAGCATTGCCTTCCATTACTTTGAGTTCTCATGTTCATCACGTTTGTCAGCTTTATTTTCTCCAATTCTTTGGTAACACTACAAAGATAACATCTGAAAGGCATTTATTTTTCTTTTAATTTAGTTGTTTGGTTGTTTTTTTGTTTGTTTGGTTGTTTTTTTGTGAGTGAATACTTCCTGTCTCGCTTGAAGGTTTGCCTTAATTCTAGCAATCTTTTTTAGATCATGGATTTTTACTCTTGTACTGCTGTACAATATTAAGTGATTGATTTGTTAGAGATTGTTTGACTTGAACTAGGAAAAAAAAAAGTGA